ACGCGCCTGATCTCGGAAGCTAAGCAGGCTCGGACCTGGCTGGTACTTGGATGGGAGACCGCCTGGGAATACTGGGTGCTGTAGACTTGGCCGGGTGCAATGGCTCACGCCTGTAATCCCAGCACTTTCGGAGGCCAAGGCAGGTGGATCACCTGAGGTCGGGAGTTCGAGACCAGCCTGACCAACATGGAGAAACCCGGTCCAGGCATGGTGGCACATGCCTGTAATGCCAGCTATTTGGGAGGCTGAGGCAGGCGAATCACTTGAACCCAAGAGGCAGAGGTTGCCGTGAGCCGAGATCGCACCATCGCATTCCACCTGGGCAACAACAGCGAAACTTCATCTCAAAAAAAAAAAAAAAAACCAACCAACAAAACAAAACAACAACAACAAAAACCCCACAATTAATTCATAAAAGACTTGCACTTTATTTGTCTTATTTTATTTAAAACATTCTCACCTTGTTTGCTGTATTTTATCTTTATACATAGAACACAGAGTTTGATTTGATTGTACTTTTCCCTTTACCCCTCTTTTTCTCTTGTTTATTTTCACTTCATAGGTCATTAAATGCCAACCACAGGATCTCAGACGGAAAAGGGCTCCAGGGTTAACTAGCTGAGCCCTATCCTATGATGTCTGAGAGGTTTTGCGGCTTGCCTGAATTCAGCCATTGACCTGTGGCAGAGCTGGCACAAGAATATGGGTCACCTGACTCCAGCACAGGCACATACATTTACGTTTACAAAAGATTTTTTAAAAAACAATCTCATCAACCAACTACTAAAAAACTACTAGAAAGAAACATGACGGCGGGCACATATTACCTCAATTTTTATAGGAGAGAACACTGAGCAGGAGAAATGAATTAATGATTTGACTTAAATAATCTACATCAGGAGACGTCAGGAGAACAACCTGAGGTCTTTGCTACTGGCTTCTGCATCTCACAGCCTCTCCATCTTCTCACCATGCAACTTCTAAAAGGACAGAGCTTCTTTTCTTTCTAAAAGGACTTTCTAAAAGGACAGAGTTGCCTTTTCAATGATTTACTTCATCATTTCATCGTTTAATCCCTATGAAAACACAAAATATAGATTTTTGGGTTTTTTTGTTGAGACAGGGTCTGACTCTGTTACCCAGGTTGGAGTGCTGTGGTGCCATCTTGGTTCACTGCACCCTCCTCCTTCCTGGGCTCAAGCAATGCTCCTACCTCAGCCTCCCAAGTAACTAGGAACACAGGTGTCCACCACCATGCCCAGTTAATTTTATTTTATTTATTTGTAGACACAATTTGGTCTGGAACTCCTGGGTTCAAGCCATCCGACCCCCTTGGCTTCCCTGGGATTACAGGCATGAGCCACTGTGTCCTGCTGATGCATATTTTAACGATTAAAAGAAAAAAAAACCCGCCTGGCACGGTGGCTCACACCTGTAATCCCAGCATTTTGGGAGGCCGAGGTAGGCGGATCATCTGAGGTCAGGAGTTCAAGAATAGCCTTGCCAACATGGTGAAACTCTGTCTCTACTAAAAATACAAAAATTAGCCAAACTTGATGGTGGGTGCCTGTAATCCCAGTTATTTGGGAGGCTGAGGCAGGAGAATCACTTGAACCTGGGAGGCAGAGGTTCTAGTGAGCCAAGATCGCACCACTGCACTTTCCAGCCTGGGTGACAGGGCGAGACTCCATCTCAAAAAATAATAATAATAAAATAAATAAAAAGGCTTAGACCTGTAATTCCAACACCCAAGGAGGGGCAGATCCCTTGAGCCCAGGAGTTTGATACCAACCCATCTCAATAAAATAAAATAAAATAAAATAAAATAAAATAAAATAAGTTGGGCATGGTGGTGCACGGGGCGTGTAGTCCCAGCTCCTTGGGAGGCTGAGGTGGGAGCACTGCTTGAGCCCTGGAGGTCGAGGCTGCAGTGAGCAGTGATTGCGCCACTGCACTCCAGCCTGGGCAACAGAGCAAAACCTTGTCTCAAAAAAAAAAAATAGTAAAATAAAGTATGTGTCATTTTGATTTGTGATAACCTTAGGAAAAAACCAGTGAAGTCTGAGAACCAGGTAATCGATTGCAAAGTGGAGAATGATTTACCTGCTATCTGAGATAAAGGAAAAGGTGAAATCACAATGTTGCTTTAAATTCCTTCCAGCTCTTTGTTTATTGTTTCCTTTTGTGTGGAATTTCACTGTGCATTGATCTAAACCCAGCTCCTACCAGATGGAACATAGAGTAGGCCCTCAAGTAAACATTTAGCACTAGGCAGGTGTGCTCTGTATAGGATATGTAGAACCCTCTTTCTGCTTCTAAGTCATAAATAGTTCTTTAGAGTCTTAAGAAATTGGCAAACTCAGGCTGGATGCAGTGGCTCAGGCCTGTAATACCAGCATTTTGGGAGGCTGAGGCAGGCAGATCACTTGAGGTCCAGAATTCAAGACCAGCCTGGCCAACATGGTGAAACCCCATCTCTACTAAAAACAAAACAAAACAAAACAAAATTAGTCAGGTGTGGTGTCAGATGCCTGTAATCCCAGCTACTCAGGAGGCTGAGAGGCTGAGGCAGGACAGTCGCTTGAACCTGGGAGGTGGAGGTTGCAGCGAGCTGAGATCTTGCCACTGCACTCCAGCCTGGGAGAGCTGTGTCCATTCATTTACAAATTATCTATGGCTGCTTTCCTTACAAGGGTAGAGCTAAATAGAAGTTAGAGACTGTATTTTAGGCAAAGGCTAAAGTATTTACTATCTGGCCCTTTAGATAAAAAGTTGACTTTAACCCTTGCATCAGGAGCGATAAATAGATGCTCTTGCATTTAGCATCTTTATTGTTTTTCATGACAAACCTAGAGTCGAACCAGTGTCAGGCTAAAAAGCAAAAGGACCATGACAAATATTCATGGATCAGCAAAGTGCTAACCCCGTTATGGAAGTCTAATATAGTGTTACAGACTCACAGGCTTAGCTAATATGTAAATCAGCAAACATGAGCAATAATGATTTATATTTGCATGGCATTCTATAGATTATGAAACATTTCATATCTGTCTCACTTGATTTTTCCAATAACTCTAGAAAGTAGACAGGCTGGGCATGGTGACTGATACCTATAATCCCAGCATTTTGGGAGGATCACTTGAGGCCAGGAGTTCAAGACCAGCCTGGTCAGTATAACAAGACCTTGTTTCTACAAATTTTTTTTAAAAATTAGCCAGGTTTGTTGGCGTGTGCCTGTGGTCTCATTTACTTGGGGTGCGGGGGAGGGGGGCGGGGTTGAGGTGGGAGGATCACTTGAAACTAAGAGTTTGAGGTAACAGTGAGTTATGATTGCACTACTGCACTCAAGTCAGGGTTACACAGCATGACTTTGTCCAAAAAAAAAAAAAAAAAAAAGGGCCAGCGCAGTGGCTCAAGCCTGTAATCCCAGCATTTTGGGAAGCCAAGGCAGGTGGATCACCTGAGATCGGGAGTTTGAGACCAGCTTGACCAACGTGGAGAAACCCTGTTTCTACTAAAAATACAAAAATTAGCCAGGTGTGGCGTTGGGTGCCTGTAATCCCAGCTACTCGGGAGGCTGAGGCAGAATTACTTGAACTCAGGAAGCAGAGGTTGCAGTGCGCCGCGATTGCACCATTGCACTCCAGCTTGGGCAACAAGAGTGAAACTCAAAAAAAAAAAAAAAGAAAGTAAACAAATAAATATGAAACAGATTCAGAGACGTTGCATGATAACCCAGAGTGAAAAGGAACTCAGATTCAATGTCTTCAGTCTTTTAGCAGCTAAAATGATTCTTTTATTTCTGGAAAATGCTTACCTTGCTAAAAAAAAAAAAAAGGTGAGTGGTTATTAACATTTACCATTTTATGATGCACTGACTTGGCAGATCACTTACAATTAACTGTACTTTGTAATAACATGTTCTATCTTCTAAATGCTGTATTTTTATGTCAGTATGATGGTAAAAATAATATAAGCATTTTATATAATGGTTTTAAAAATCAAAATAAATATGGGCCTAATTAAGTTATAAGTTAAAAATTTAATCTTAAATTTTAAAAATCTTAGAAACTGCAAAACTGCAAGATGAATCAGTTATCTGCTTTTCTTGGATTACCAAAATTTTTAAAAAACAACTCTTGGAGTAGCAGGGAAAAATAAATCTTAGTAAAAATACGAGTATATATGAGCTTGAGAAAAATAATGAAAATTATATATAGTGCTCTGTAAATGGATCAAATCATGTTGAACTAAATATCTCAATGGAAGCTACAAATCTGTAGATGACTATTACAATCATTGTGTCATCTAAGACTTGATCTTCTGTGTGATCAAACCACTTCTGAGGAATTGCTAGTTTACCAACACATTGCTGTATCGGTCTTGGACCAGCATAAAAAATTAATACAACACACTGCATGATTCAGCTAAATGACATTCTGGAAAAGGCACATCTATGGAGACAGTAAAAAGATCAGTGGTTGCTAGAGTTCAGGGTAAGGAGGGGATGAATAGCGGAGGGCAGAGGAGTTTTTGGGCAGTGAAACTGAACTGTATGATACTGTAATGGCGGATGCATGTTATTATACATTAGTCCAAACTCATAGAATGTATAACAACAGGAGTGAACTCTAACATGAATTAAGGACTTGGGTGATAATGACATGTCAAGGTAGGTTCCTCAGTTATAACAAATGTGCCATTCTGCTAGGGAATGTTGATGGTAAAGTAGGTTATACGTGCATGGGGACAAGGGTATATGGGTGATCTCTGTACCTTCTGCTCAGTGTGCTGTGAACCTAAAACTGCTCTAAAATATAAAGCCTATTTTAAAAAAATAATATAATGAGCTAACAAAGACTACAATTCTGGGTCCTCCTCAGAAGCTTTATAAATGTGCATTAAAAATTAGTTTTGGGGTATACTATGGCAGAAATACAAGAAAAACAAAGGCCCAGAAGTTTTCCAGGAGAATAGATCCAGAGCGAACATGAACTTACTTCACACCCAGATTGGGTTTCCCATGAACACGACTCCTTCTCCTGAGGGAGAACCCCTCTTTGGAAAGCATGTTCACCCAGGCATGCTTGACACAAGGGAGGCTCAAAGTCTGGCTCCTCTGGAGGGATGTGCACCATCGAGGAGCCAGCGTACTTCAGTCTGGGACTCTGATGCTTGTCCACACTGACCATTGGGCTCTTGATCCATCTTCGTACCTGCAATATGCAAAAGGAAAGAAAAAAACAAATACATTTGACTCCTTTTGATGCTTAATGGGGATTTGGTGGGAAATTCAGTGAGACTGAAAGGAGAACTCAGTCTCACAACCTCTCTTATCTTTCAAACTCAACACAATTAGAATTGGTCAGTGCTGTTCAGTCTCTTTCCTAGAGTATGCATTACATGGCTGGTCATTTCATCTTGCTGAGTCTGTCTCCACATTTTTTTTTTCTTTTCTTTTTCTTCCTGCTTCCAGTGGGGTTAGAATGTTTTCTTTTTAGAGATGGGGGGTTTCACTATGTTGCCCAGGTTGGTCTTGGTGTTAAAAGATCCTCCTGGACCAGCCAGGTTTCACCAACATGGTGAAACCCAACCTCTACTAAAAACACAAAAATTAGCCAGGCCTCGTGGTGTACACCTATAATCTCAGCTGCTTGGCAGAATCACTTGAACCTGGGAAGTGGAGGTTGCAGTGAGCTGAGATCGCCCTGCTGCACTCCAGCCTGTGCGACAGAGTGAGACTGTCACCAAAAAAACAAAAACAAAAACAACAAAAAACCTCAAAACCCAAAAACAAACAAAAATAATTATCCTGGCCAGGCGAGATGGTTTATGTCTAAATAGCACTTTGGGAGGCCGAGGCAGAAGGATTGCTTTAGCCCAGGAGTTTGAGATCAGCCTGGGCAATATAGCGAGACTTTATGGAAAAAATCACTTTTTTTTTTTTTTTAAGAAAAAGATCCTTTTGCCTCTTAAAGTGTTGGGATCACGAGTATAAGTCACTGTGCCTGGCCTGTCTCCTCATTTGTAAGATTCAGGTAATAATATTTCCTCCCGAGCTGTGAAAATGCTACCACGTTTTACAAAGTTCAAGTATTTTGCCTGGCACATGTTTGGTGCCCAACAGATAGTGATTATTTTACTTTGACCCTTATTATTATGATTATGGTGACAGAAATTTAGTTCACACATTTCTAAGGTGAATTGCTAGTTTCCTTACAAGGGAAAATACTAATCTCATAGTTTACAATCTAATCCATTGCTAAGCAAATACATATTCACTACTATTGTTGTTGAGATAGGATCTTCCTCTGTCACCCAGGCTAGAATGCAGTGGCCTAATCATGGCCCACTGCAGCCTCAAACAGCTGGGCTCAAGCAATCCTCTCACCTCAGCCTCAGGAGTAGCTGACACCACAGGCTCGTGCCATCACACTAGCTTTTTTTTTTTTTTTTTTTGTAGAGATGAGGTCTCACTAAGTTGCGCAGGCTGGTATCAAACTCCTGGGCTCAAGCAATCCTCCCGCCTCCCAAAGTGTTGGGATTACAGGCATGAGCCACTGAATCCGGCCCATATACACTACTGCAAAACTTTGATTATAAAAGCACTAAATGTGTTTTTGATCAATCTAAAAAGTATTCAGTTTTGTTAGAGATGGATAATGTTTTTTATTATTCTTATTCAGATAGTTTTGGACTTGAAGTCTGGTAACTGTTCCTGCTTTGTTTCCAACATCCATAGTTTAAAATCAGTCTTTTTACTCTGGTTTACTTTCAATGTCTCTGTTGCCAAGTGGATTTAACTTTGGGGTTACTGTGAACAGGATTTAAACAGATGATAAATCTATTCAAATATATTTATAAGTTGTATGCCTGGGCTAATTAAGAATCTTTGTATCTTGAAATATGTATCTCTCCTGAACCCCCAAACACCTGCGCTCTAGAGTTTGAGTTATGGACAACATAATAAATTTTTTTTTAATATTCTTTTTTCATGTTATTTTTACTTCTTTTTGCTTTTTATTTTTATTTTTTCTTTTTTTAATATGTTACAGTCTGAATATGTTCATAGTGACTTTTTTTGTTTGTTTGGTTGGTTTTTTTATAGAGATACAGTCTTACTCTATTGCCTAGATTAGAGGGCTGTGGCATGATCATAGCTCACTTCAGCCAAGAGCTCCTAGGCTCAAGCTATCCTCTCGTCTCAGCCTCCCAAGTAGCTGGGACTATAGATGCGCGCCACCACGTTTGACTAATTTTTTTTTTTTGGAGAGATGGTGTCTCATTATGTTGCCCAGGCTGCCTTTGAACTCCTGGCCTCAAGTGATCTTGCTGTCTTGGCCTCCCAAAGCTCTGGGATTACAGACGTGTAATCCCACTACACCTGGCGAGAATAAAATTATTAAAGGGACATATTATTTATTTAATAAAATAAGTAAACTATAAGTAAGAAGGAAAATAAAGCATATGGATGATCAGGATCATTGCCAGCGGAGGGATCAATTTTAAACAGTATGAGCCAGGATACTATCGGATACTCCCTCTCTGTCCACAGAGAATGTAGCAAGGGATATGGAGAAATATTCCCTTTCTCCAGAAGCATCAAAGAAAAAGTGTTACTTACAAAAATGAATCCACCAACACATTTCTTACAGGACTGTTGCTGAATTTTATTGCATGCTTTGTCTTGAAATGTTTTATCTCCATTGGCTTAGTCCTTATACTGGCTTCAATGTGTACTTTCTTTTTGACTCCTTGACACTTTTCACCAGCTTTGCAGCCTCAGAGGTGATTTTTACAGGCCCAATCAAGGACAGAAGTTAGGATGTTTGCTTGCTCTCTCGAGAGAGGCTGGACGAGTGCACAGGAGTTAGGCAAGGTGCCTTTCAAAACTGCTGAGTAGAGAAACTCTCCCATGGCCCCTCGGGGAATTCAAGCTACAACTGGCCCATTGTGTTTCCTCAGGCGGCGGACTGCTTTGCTGGAGGGAGTAGCTGACTTTGAGTGGCTTTGGGAGCCCCTCAGAGACCAGCAACAATGGCTGGAGGAGAGCTGCGCAGCTGTGTGTGCAAGAAACATGAATGCCCGGATGCGAGCGGCAGCCGGGGCTCCTGGGCCTCCTGGGCCACCTGGGCCCCAGTTTTATTCAGAGCTACACAACTGTTTGTGAAGAGCATTGTAAACAAACATAGACGGGGTGAGACATCCTCCTTATCCTGAATAAATCAAAAATTTCCAGGCCGGGCGCAGTGGCTCACGCCTGTAATCCCAGCACTTTGGGAGGCCGAGGGGGGCGGATCACGAGGTCAGGAGATGGAGACCATCCTGGCTAACAGGGTGAAACCCGTCTCTACTAAAAATACAAAAAATTAGCCAGGCGTGGTGGCGGGCGCCTGTAGTCCCCGGTACTCTGGAGGCTGCAGGAGAATGACGTGAACCCGGGAGGCGGAGCTTGCAGTGAGCCGAGTTCGGGTCACTGCACTCCAGCCTGGGCGACAGAGTCAGACTCCATTTCAAAAAAAAAAAATTTTCCTCACTTGGGGTTTACAGGAGACTGCTCTCCAAACCACACCAGACTTTTAGAAGCAACCAGCTCTCCAGATACCGGTGTGAACCAGTAAGGCCCTTCATTTAACTAGACAGAAACTCTGAGTGAACAGTGGGTAAACAAAATATTCCACCAAATTCTTTGCTAAATCCAGTCCACCTTGGTTTTATTAATGTCTTTATTTGAAAAAAAAAAAAAAAAAAAGCCATCCAAAAGCAATAATCCCTCACTCTAGAAAATTGCCAGATGTGATTAAAGAGATTGGCTGGCTTCTAGGGATTTTCCACTTGTGGTTTTTTCCTATTATCTAAGAGCAAACAGATATTACTATTAATTTAAAATAGTTTAGCTGATAATGATATCAACCGACACAGGAAAATTAAAGAGTGTTTAGGTACTTAGGTGTGAACTCAGATGGCAACACCTGCTCTCATTGGCCCCTGTCCTTTCAGGGGGAAGAGCTGACTCTTAAAATGCCAAGAGAACTTGAAGTTGGACGTAACTTCTGTAATTTCCAAAGAGACATTTTTTTTTTTCAGTTATAGAGAACAGACTTTGCTTACTTGATGCCTTAATAACTTTCAATTTCGATAGCGTCAGCCCAGTTTTCTAGTGAAATTACTTGGATAATTCAATAAATTATAAAAAGGGAGGCCAGGCGAGGTGGTTCACGCCTATAATTCCAACACATTGGGAGGCCAAGGCAGGTGAATCATTTGAGGACCAGGCTAGCCCATACGGTGAAACCCCATCTCTACTGAAAACACAAAAATTAGCCACCGTGGTGGTGTGCACCTGTAATCCCAGCTACTAGGGAGGCTGAGGCAGGAGAATTGTGTGAACCTGGGAGCCGGAGGTGGCAGTGAGCCAAGATCGTGCCACTGCACTCCAGCCTGGGTGAGACTGTGTCTCGGAAAAAAAAAAAGAGAGAGAGAAAGCGAGAGATCTACATGCCTATGCCTCTTCCAGAGGCTGCGTGCTAGCAGGTTTGTTACGGCATGAGTGTAATTTAGGAGAAGGCTCCTGGAAGCAAATTCATCTTACACTGACACTGGAGCCTGAAGCTGCTTCATAGCATGTCTCCTAAAATATAACCGTGCTGTAATATTCAGTAATATTAATCAGATTTCTTCACCCCCGCTATATGTCGTCATCACGTAGCTATCTTTTCTGTTTTTTTTTTTTTTTTTTTTTTGAGACAGAGTTTCACTCTTGTTGCCCAGGCTGGAGTGCAATGGTGCGATCTCAGCTCACTGCAACCTCCGCCTCCTGGGTTCAAGTGATTCTCCTGCCTCAGCCTCCCGAGTAGCTGGGATTACAGACATGTGCCACCACATCTGACTAGTTTTGTATTTTTAGTAGAGACAGGGTTTCTCCATGTTGGTCAGACCAACCTCAGGTGATCTGCCTGCCTCGGCCTCCCAAAGTGTTGGGATTACAGGCGTGAACCACCACACCAGGCCTATTCCTGTCTTTTCTCTAGTGTTTGTAGTGTTTATTGCTTGTATAAAACAACAGGACTTTTATGCTAACTGGTCTTGATATTAAGCCTATGTCATCTTTCCAACTGGATCATAAGTGTGAGAATAGCTTCTTAGGTCTTAGGAAAAAAAAAAATTCCCAGAGCCTAGTGTATGGTCTTACAAATAAACTAGGTAATAAAAATAA